TCCGCAGCATTGCACGACACTGGTGTACTTGTATACATGCAGGCAATACACTCATACATATAAAAATAAAATAATAAATAAAGTATTTAAAAAAAAAAAACTTAGGTGATCAGGGCACCAAGGTTTCAAGCCCCCTCCCCTACCCCTGGACTTAGCCTGACTCACCTCCAGGGGAAAACTCTTCTCTCAAGGCAAAGACACTGGATCAGACACAAAGGAGGGCAAGCCCCATCTACGTGTGTATGTGTGTGTGTGTGTGTGTGTGTGTGTGTGTGTGTAGAGTACAGACAACAAACTAGGGTGTTATTCCTCAGGCACCTTATTTTTGTTGTTGTTCTTAAGTCTTTCTGAGACAGGGTCTCCCTGTAGCCCCAGCTGGCCTGGAACTCACTACGTAGACCAGCCTGGCTTTGAACTCACAGAGATCCGCCTGCCTCTGCCTCCTAGTGCTGGGATCAAAGGTATGCGCCACCACGTCCGGCTAGGCACCTTATTATTTGAGCCAGTGTCTCTCAATGCCTGGAGCTTGCCCATTAGGCTAGGCCAGCTGCCTAGCGAGCCCCAGGAATATGCCTCTGTTTTCCCACAAATGCATGCCACCATGCCTTGCTTTTTTTTTTTTACACAGGTTCTGGGAGTCAATCAGGTCCTCATGTTTGCACAGCAAGTATTTTACTGACTGGAGCCATCTCTCCAGTCACAGTTTATCTCTTTCTTTTGGTGCTCAGAGAGTTTCCTACCACCTGGCTGGCTGTGAATGGGCTGGGGTGATGGGCAGTGAGGTGTTGGGGTTAGATACATGGGAGGAAACAGAGACCTCCATTTCCTGCCCTGGATGAACTTGGCAGAAATTCAGTTGTTCCCTAACCTGGCTTTATGCTGTAGTATGATCCTGTATAAAATGCTTAATTACTTTCCTTTTCCAGAAAGTTTCAAGAGGGGCGGCGGAGATGGTTTTCAGTAAAATGCTTTCCCTACAAACATGAGGACCTGAGTTTGGATTTCCAGACCCACATAAAAAGCCGGCCATGGTGGTGTGCATCTGTTTTCATATCTCTAGCCTACACATACACACACACACACTTAAGAAAGCAGTAGAGAAAGGATTAAAAATTGCACTCAAGGGAGCCTTTATCTCTCGTGTATCCCCTGAGAATTCTGAGAAATCTCATTGGCTTACAGAGAGTCTCAGCTTCCCGGCAATCACTGGATTCTCTTCTGATAGCAGGGCTTCCTTGGGAGATCCTTGTAAGATGGGGATCCACTACAGGCTTACCATGTGAGTTCTGGAAGCAGGGTGGTACTGGTATTTGAGTTTTCTCCCCTTAGCCCTCCCCCGAAATACTTCCACAAATTGTAACCTGGAATGCCTCCTCTCAGAAGCCAGAATTATGACAAGTATTCAGATAAGCCAAAGGAAAGTGGGGCATAGGTTGGTTCTTTGTTGGTAAGGGTGGCAGAGCACATTTTCTCCAAGGTGTGTCTCTTTCCAAAATGCATGTGGTTCAAATCCTGCACCCAGAAACCTCCAATACCCTTGGGAGATGTTTAGCACCTGTGTGCCAGGTGAATGCTGTCCCAATGGACCAAGACAAATTCATTCCAGTGTGGGGAGTGTTTAATGTAAAAGATTTTATGTCTTTAGATACATGTTGTATTCATATTGAAGGGGCTGAAAGTGAAGCTAACATTTAGTTTCAAGTTCAACCCTCTTTTTTTTTTTAAAGGCTCAGTAGTATAATAAAAAGAGCTTGAAGTTTGCAACTAAACTTTGTTTTTGGATCCCAGTTCTGGTATATTGTGAGAAAATAGTGTATAATTTACAGGTTTTGTGAAGATTAAATGAGGTAGGCTAGTGGCACTCCTAGCATGTGGTGGGGGATGGGGATGCAGGGAGGTGGTGTCAGGCCCACTGGGCAGGGCGGCCATCCTCTGTCATGCCAAGATTTGGGGGTCTTTACAATTCCCAGCATACAGTCACTGGTGGACTGCTCATTTCAGAAAACAAGGGGGGATTCTGAGTCCTGTTAGCCATGGCTACACTCAGCCTTCTGCCTGACTGACGCTTTTCTTCAAACTTGTTTTTCTATTCTGAACTCAGTTTGGGATGGTAAGCCTAAGCTTTCCTCAGGGAGAGAGCTCTAACAGACCCAGCTTTATTCAAGGCCTTCTGTGCAACAGAAACTTTCATCAACTCATGAGGATTCTACAGCCTCTGAAACTGGCAGGAGCTTCAGGGAAATCACAGGGCGATTTCTTTGCAGCATGATTAATCCTGGGTGGACTGGTCCCGGAAGCACACATACAGTTCGCAGCAAGCACCAGCTTGCAGAATCTCACAAAATCAACCATAATGGACAGGCCCCCAGGGTACATGCTTTGGAGGAAAGTCCGGAATGAGGGTGGGGTCTGACGATGGAAGAAGATGCCAGATGTGTGAACAACAGCCCTCTTTAGAATCCACTAACATCCAAAGAGATGACACTGGGGATTGAGTTATAAAACTGAACCCCATGGCATCAGATGAAGGGAACCCAATAGGGTTCCCTAAAAGAAGAATTTGCAGATCACCACAATCGCCCCCAGCCTGGCTCCCCAGCAACAGTTCAGCTCAATGGAGTTACTCAATCATATTCATTATTCTGAGACAAACCCCCTAGGGCCTGTCTTCTACAGCAGGGCAGACCTGCACATGAAGGGCCACACAGCCACCTTTTCTTTGGGGCATCTTTCTTTAAGCAGTTCCAGTTTGAACAGAGCACTGGCTGGTTTTCTAGACAAGACTGAAAATCAGCTACATTTCTGGAGTTAGCTGCAGCCCACCCTTTTTCTGGGAGGGAGCAAAGGAGGCTACCCAGCAGCTGACTTTCCTAAGATGTGGCTCAGGTTGGCTCACCTTGCCCGGAGGAGCGCAAAATCATGTCATATGTGCGTTGTCTCATCAAAACGGAAATGGAACTGAAATACAGAACTATATACATTCCAGTGGAAAGAGAAGTTCCAAAGATAGGACTGCCACAAATAATCCAGGCCTCAAGAAGAACAGGTCTGTCTCTTTGAAACAGACAGTCCTGCCCGTGCACACTATGTAATTTCCCTAAGGCTAGGTGTTGTCAGTAGAGGATTACAGAAATCTAGGCTAGGTCCATCCATTTCACTCAGACCTCTTCCTTTCCAGGAAGGATGCCCAGGGCCTAGCTCCATCAGAATCAAGTAAGGAAATGTGAGATCTCCGTCTCTGAGGATCCCCCAGCTTGCTTACGGTCCCTTCAACTGACATTTAGTGAGCAGTGAGTACTGCCAGATGATGTCGTGGCCCTGAGGATCTAGGCAAAAAAGAAAGAATTACAATAAAATCATGGCGAATGCTCACAGAGGCCATCCACAGGGTACACTGGGCAGACGATGAGACCAGGGAAGATGAGGATGAAGGTCCCATCAGTCCTTTTTTTGATTTTGCTACAAGGTCTCATGAAGCCCAGGCTGGCTTTGAAGTGGGTAATTATAGCCCAGGATGACCTTGAATCTCTCCCTTCCTTCCTTCCTTCCTTCCTTCCTCCCTCCCTCCCTCCCTCCCTTCTTTCCTTCCTTTTAATTTTTAAAATTATGCTGAGTGTGGTGGCACACACCTTTATTCCCAGCACAAGGGATGCCGAGGCAGGCAGATCTTTGTGAGATGGACGTCAGCCTGGGATGTGCTACTAGGAAGTTCTAGACCAGTTGGGGCTACAGGGAGACCCTGTCTCAAAACAACAACAACAACAACAATTATGTATATATGTATATGGGGGTGTGTGTGTGCACATGTGAGTGCAGGTGCCCTCAGAGATTAGAGAGGATGGATCCCCTGGAGCTGGCAGTTGTGAGGCACCCACCCATGGGTGCTAGGAATCAAGCTCAGGTCCTCTAGAAGAGCAGTAACTTCTCCTAACTGTTGAGCCCTCTCTCCAGCTTTATCCTCCCCACCTCCACTTCCAGGGATTACAGGTGTGCAACCATGCCCAGTTTTAAACTGTGCTGGGGGTGGAACCCAGAGCTTCATGAACACAAGACAAGCACTGTCCTGAATGAACTCCATTCTCAGGCCCCATTAATCTTTTAATGACATAACTAAACCTTTGAGTCCTTGATTAAGTTAAACACATGGCCTCAAACCCACTTAAACTTCAGTTTATTGCCCGCAACCCTCCAAGCTGAGGGTGCAGCTCAGTGGCTGAGGTCCCTGGGTTTCATCCCTAGTGCTGGATAAAGAAAAAAGGGGGAGAGAGAGGATAGAAAGCCACCACCTTCTATTGGCACGCTCATCCTATTCCAGGTCAATCCACTCACACATCACCTTCCCGAGCTCCAGGCTGTCCCCATCCTGAGCTCCAAGCTGGCACAACAAGGAAGACCAAGGGCCTGGGCAACTTGGGAACCCTCTCCCACCCCAGCCCTCAGGCCAGTGGCTTCTTAACACTACCCATTCCTCTGACTGCCCCGTGGGCCAGTCCAGTCGCCTCTTTCATCCTCCTCCAACCCCATTTCTACGGAGCAGACCCAGAGAGAGACCCCCTGGGTCAGCACTTGGGGAGACCAAGGGCCTGGGCAACTGGGGAACCCTCTCCCACCCCAGCCCTCAGGCCAGTGGCTTCTTAACACTGCCCATTCCTCTGACACGCTGCCCCGTGGGCCAGTCCAGTCGCCCCTTTGCATCCTCCTCTAACCCCATTTCTACGGAGCAGACCCAGAGAGAGACCCCCTGGGTCAGCACTTTGCCGCCTGTGGGTCCCGGGCTCAGCGCACCACACCCACTAGGCTGTTTCTAGGGGGACTCAGGGGCCAGCTAAACCGCTACTGTTCCAATCACGGGCCCTTCTGCCGGGTGCTGAGTGCACACACACCCCTGCAGCTCCCCCGGCTTTCTCCCCAACACCCTCAGATCCCAAGCCCAGGCATCCCACCCCTCCCCACACATGCCCACCGGCCAAGTGCAGACAGTCACCCGGCGGGGCGCTTACCTCCCTGTACCGAGCCCCAGAGCCACACGCTTCCCAAAATCCAGAGCAGCACCGGCGCGGTCCACATCTTTCCAGTCGGCTGGTTCTCTTTAGGGCCTCAGAAGCTGGTGGTTTTTGTGGGTTGGGAGATGAAAAAAAGTTCGGTAGTCACAGGCCCAGCCTGGAAGAGCACGGGACGAGGATGGAATGCGGCGCGCAAAAGTCCTCCCAACAGCCAGAGCCCGGCTTCCCTGGCCCGCGGTGCTGGCAGGGCAAACTTGGCGGCTGGCAACTTCGCGGCACGGTCAGCATTTATGTCTCCAGACCCGGGCGGGGAGCGGGTGGGCGTCAGGTGGTCCCTGCCCCTGAGATCTAGCACCGCCTCCGGGCTGTGTTTGGCCAGAGCTGCGAGATGACCTCAGGCCAGGTTTAAAGTTACAGGGCTGCAGCTGCGGGGGCTCAGCTCAAGCCAAAACAAAAAAAAAGAAAAAGCTTTTGGTTCTGTCCAAACACAGGGGGAAGAGGGGCCGCATGCAATAAACAATTCTGCCTTGTAAATATTTTTTTTCTACTATATGCATTATTCTGTTTTGAAGAGGAAAGCACAAACCCACGTTTCTCTTGCCACAGGGCCGAAGTGAGAATTACATGGTGGGTTTTGTGGTTTGGTTTTAGAACCAAGCATCAGATTGTTTCTTTGTAAATACTGAATTCGATGGCTTAAAAATTAGGCCATCATGTGGGTGAGCCATAGGTGGTTCAGGCTAATCAATTGAGCCCTTGTTTAGGGGTCCAGGGTGGACGGCTGGTGATGGGGACTGGGGGGATGCTTCTGGAACTGGCCAGTGGTGGAGTACCGGTGGTCCTGGTACTTGGCCTGGAGGGGTACTTGGCCTGGAGGGGTGCTTGGCCTGGAGAGAACTTAAGCAGTTTGACAGGCTGAGCATCAATTTCCTGGGACATTGTGGCTCCACCTGGAGGCAGGGCAGCTGGTCATCTGACCAGTGGTCATGCCCCTGGAACAGTTCCAGTTTATCCAGGGTTTGGCTGGTAATCCCCATTTCACTGATTTCCCTGGTCTTAGAGAGTGGCTATCTGCAAGATAATTTTTCTATTTCTTTCCTAGCTTATTTCCTTCTGACCTGTTGGAATGTTAAGAGCAGGGTTTGAGGAGGTGGTCTGAGCTCCACTCCCAGATGCCATGAATTCCATTCAACAAAGAACCTAGAGATGGCTCTGCCACCCAGGCTAGACATGAGTTCTAGCCCCAGAACCCTCATGGTGGAAGGAGAGAACTGACACTCACCAGTTGTCCTTTCCCCTCCACACACATAAGCACACACACCATACACAAATAAAACAAAATGAAAAAAAAATAAATAAATAAAGTGCCAGATGAAATGGGGTGGGGCATACCTTCAATCTCCATGCTTGTGAAGCAGAAGCAGGCGGATCTCTGTGAGTTCAAGGCCAGCTGGGCTACAGAAAGACTCTGTCTCAAAAAACAAGTAATAATAATAATAATAATAGTAATAAAGAACCTGAAGGTCCCCAAAGCACCCCACTAGGGTGAAAATGTCCTGTCTTCAGTCCTTTATTTTTGACTTTGGTTCCAAACTGACTTTATAGTAAGGATCACAGGAGGAGATTATGTTTTTTAAAAGTTTTATTCATTTATTATTATTGTGTGTACACACCAGCTACAGCCCATTTGTAGAGGTCAGAGGCAGCTTTGTGGAGTTAGTTCTTTCTGTCCACTTTTACATGGGTTCCAGGGATCAAACTAACATCGCCAGGCTTGGGAAGAAAATGCTTTTACCTCCTGGGAAATCTCACCAGCAGAGATTGTTTTGCAAGCACAGATTCCCAGCTTCTACCCCAAACTCATTAATAAGACCTTTTAGGGAATTTCTAGTCTAGTGTCTGTCCATGAGAGCTTGCTGATCACCCGGGGCTGGGAGTCCAAGCAGGTGGGAGGTTTGTTTTGTTTGGTTTTGTTTGGTTGTCAGATCATCTTATTGAAATTATTTCTCTTGCTTAAGTAGCTAGGCGTTTCACTGAACCATTGCCGATGTCATCTATGATGTCATCTATGATGTCATGAGGGTGACAGTCATCCACATTGCAGCCCACAGACTGTGCAGTGCCCAGGATCTCTTTAATAGTTCCAGAAATTTCTCTGGCTAGAGATTGGTGCCGCATCTGTCAGTCTGTGTTGACAAATCTCATGAAAAGTATATTTCCACTGTGCTTAATGTTTTCCTGTCTCTTGGTGGCTACTTGAGGCTTTGATGACCAGGGCACAGGCAGAAGTTACCACCTCAATCAGGGCCTGTCTGTTCTGAACAGTCAGTTTCATTTAATCTTCAGAATCTTCCAATTGCAGGTTGAGGCTAAGATGCATCTTTCTTCAGTTGTTCTGAATCTAGATTTATCTGGCACCAGCCACCTCCATCATGCCACCCGACGAGATCAAAAGTCATCTACCTGAGGTGTACCGTCCGCTTTGGCTCCCAAGATCAGCCCCCAGGCTCTGTTTCCAAAAAAGTTGGTGGTGGCAGGTGAGTGTTTTACATAAATAGGGATTGCTCAAGAGAAGGTGGCTTGTCCTGGGGCTACAAGACAGGAATGGAGTGGAGTTGAGGAAGTAAGACGACTGCTGAGTTGATTTTGCCTGATCATTTCTTCAGTGGAAGTAATATTGACTGATAGACCTCGTGACACATGAATTGTCTGTGTAGCCTCTGATGCAGAATGGATGAAAATGGGTTCCAACGTGGCAACTGAAACTTTAACATACATCTGCCACAGACCAGTGTTTAGGATAGATTCCATTTCCCAGGAAACAGGCCGTCTACCCCTCTCCCTACCTCTCAGGGATGAGTCTAGGTTCTAGAAGGTTGGTTCCTACCTTCTTGTAGAGGACGGTGGAGGGGGACATAAGAGGGAGCGGGTGGCCTGGAGATAAGGAGATGGATGGGGAGAGGGGCCAGGGGCTGGAGGAACCTGGCTCTGCTTGTTGTCTGTCTGAATAACCAAGTAAGTGGCCAAGGAGGGGGGTCGGTCACTGAAGGATCCGCAGGAGGACTGTGACATTCAACAAATGCAAATGGTAAGTTGAGGGTGGAAGTTCTGGCTTTGGTCAGAGAGATACCTAGGAGTGAGTCAGGGCCAGGCTCAGGCCTCAACAGTGACAGCATTCCCCCTTTCCTGCAGGGGGGAAATCTAAGAAAGGAATGTGGAAGGAATGTGCAGAGGGGCCCTCCCCACTTGTGAGACTCCTCCTGGGGAGGCTGTGGGAGATGGAATGACATGTCATCTTGAGCCAACAATGATGATGGTACTCAGAGATAACAGTCACAGCCCTGCTGTTTACTGATCTTACCTTGCAATCTCATTTGATCCCCCAAGGACCTTTGGTCTAGGATCATGATTCTCAAGGAAAATGACTTAGTGCTGATTCACCTGCAGGGCTCACCTAGAGGGCTGACTAAGACACAAGTCACTGGGGCCCACTTCCAAAGTTCTTATTCATTAGCGGGGAAGGGAGCTGAGAATCTACATTTCTAACAAGTTCCCGGATGAAGTTGCTGATGGTGGTTCAGGACCCTACACCGAGAACCTGTTGTTTAGAACACACCAGAAGACACATCCGGAGTCCTGCCCCAAAGGAATGATGGAGACATATGTCTCTCTGTTCAGATCAGGCCTGGAGTCTATTGCTAAAGCTGTATGTTGTATAAGTATCTATCTAGTGGAGGGGCTAAGGTGAAACCTGCGGAATGAGACTCCCCTGGGGGATGCTGGAGGTTGGCTTAGATTCTCTGAGGTTGTCTGTATTCTTTGAGGCCTCTTGCCTAGTCTAGAGAGCAGTCAGCTCCTTCAAAGGAATTTCCAAGGGCATAAGCATCTCTGTGACTCCTGGCTAGGCCATTTCTTAGAGCACTGGTTGGGGCAGAAATGAGATGAGGCTGTGTAGGTGGTGAGCGGTGCTAGGTTTAGATAGAACTCATAACACCTTAGTTTGCTGGTAAAAGCCTTGGGCCACATGAGCCCCAGAGTTTTCGTCTTTAAAGCGGGGGTGGGGGGGTGGGGGGGATTCCTACGATAGAGAACTGTGCACAGTTAGGAATATTGCTATTGTGGTCGTGGTGATGGCTGTTTCTGCTGGACTCCTCTGGGGTCTCAGCCTCTTTCACCCTCTGGTACTACTTGTGTCTGCCTGAACACTCAGTCATCCCTAGTAGTATCTGGGGCAGAAGTTCTTAAGATGGCTCCAATGGAGTGAGTTTCTTTGAACTGGGGCATGCCTGCTGGACCAGTATATAGGAACTAAGCATCAGGTTGTCCCTCTCTCCTCAGCCAACCTTCACTTGGGCTTTATTTTGAGGGTCCCCTCAATCCTGACAAAGCCTTGGGAAACTGGATTATTCCCCAAGTTCCACTTAGGAACTCGTCATCAGCACCTGGAAGCTGGCTCCTGTCATTCCATGAATGGGAACTGGCTTGGATTCTGACACACTGGCTTCCTCTAAGTGCTAGAGCACCGCACTGTGAGTTCTCCCTGACGTCAGCTGCCGCGCCTGCTGTCAGAACCACCTCACGCCTGATTCCAGTGGGCCGTACAGAAATTTCACTATCAAACCCCCAAAAGAATTTTTGAAAGACTGGTTACCAATCTTTCATCACAGAGTTGAGTAAGTACAGCCATCCTTTGTATCTATGGAGGTGGGCTCCAGGGCACCCAGGGATGTTATGATCCACAGACACTCTAGTTCCTTATAGATGATGGTTTAGTAACTGCATATAATTTTAGCACATCTTCTCATGTTAGTTTTTTTATTTTATTATTTTTATTTTATGTGTATGAGTGTATTGCCTGCATATATGTAAGTGCACCCATGTGATGCAATGCCCTCAGAGGTCAGAAGAGGGCATCGGATCCCCTGGAACTGGAGTTAGGATGGTTGTTAGCCACCTGTGGGTTCCGGGACTCGAATCAAGTCCTCTGCAAGAGCAGTCAGTGCTCTTAACCACTGAGCCAACTTTCCAGCCCCTACTTCCCATGTACCTAAATCATCACTAGGTCACTCATAATACATAATGTGATACTATCTATTAATAAATAGTGGCTGTGCTGTATTATTTAGGGGAAAGTATGAGAGAAAAAAGCCTGTGCATGTTTAGCACAGATTCAATATTTTTTCACAAATATTTTAAATTTGTGATTAGTTGAACCCAAATTAGGGGGTAGAGGAGACTGAATATACCAACAGAACGCTGACCGTGTTAGACAGCTCACAAAAGAAAGGTGAAAACGGGCTGTAATTGGAAAATAGGTTTCATAAAGTGATTCGACAAAAGTAAC